GTAACGGTGAATCTGAGATTTAAACCCAGGGCTGCCTTACTCCAGAGCTGATTCCAGTACCACTGGGCCATCTTTCTTCTTCTTCTTCTTTTTTCTGTCTTACAGCATGCAGGATCTTAATTCCCAACCAGGGATTGAACCCGTGACTCCTGCAGTGGAAGCAGAGTCTTAACCACTGGAACACCAGGGAAGTCCCTGAACCATCTACTGAGAAAGCTAAATGTGTCTAGTTAGGGCATAGATCAAGAGAGGGGAGAAGGGAGGGCTCCTAACCTCTTCATAGCTGGTGAAGATGTCACCAGCCCAACGAGGGCCACAGCCCTGGACCTGAGTACCACCTGGTGAGTGTCCTGTAAGCTCCAGATACCACCCTGCACATCATGTCTTTCAACCAAGGGAAATCACATGAGGTCTTTCAACCAAGGGAACTTAACACAGGAAATTTGTTTTGCAGCTTGGACTTCCTGAGGAGCCAAATGGGACGGCGAGGTGATCAGACAGTTTAGTAACAACAGTAAGTCACTGCTGCCATCACTAGGGCCAGGACAAGAAGGGAGAAGCTAGGGTTACCAGAGCCCATGGCTCAGGGCACCTACGAGGTGCTGGAACCACAGTAGAGATGTAGCCACAGAAGCACAGGGGTGAGTGGAATGGGGATTTCTAGCAACTACCCTCCAAGGTAGTTATTTTTACCCCATTTTAGAGATGAGGAAACTGAGACTTGGAGAGGTTTAGTGACTGGCCCAACCAAGATGGAGGTCAGTGTGTCTGTCTTCATAGCTCTGGCCAAACCAGTCAGCTCAGGGACTTTGTGAGCCATGAAGAATTCAACAACAGAGGAAGACAACGTATGAGCCTTCAGGTTCCAAAGACCTGACGGGGGTGGGGGTAAGGGATCAAGGGCCCTTGGGTGACAACGGTGCCCATGTGTCTCTCCTTTGCTGTCCTGCCAAGTCCCAGCTATAGCCCAGAGAGGCATGTTACATGAAGCCGCAGCCTGGACTCTGCATGTTGGGACTAAGAGCAATTCTTTTTCCTTTGAGGCCTTCTGTATTTTCCAAATCTTCCCAGAGGAATATGCACATCTTCATTAGTGGGAAGGACAGCTCATCTCCAGGCATCGCTGAAAAGGTAGAAGTCTCCAGACGAAGCCTTTAGCAGAAGAAAAGTTGGGGCCAAAGATGGTGACACGAGGGAAGACTGGTCAACACAGGTGGCTCATCACCAGCCTGCAGCCTCCTCCCCGGGAGGGAACACAACCAGGAGGTGAAAACATGCAATGGTAAGAGCTGCTGTTCACACATACACACCCAGCCCTCTTCTGCACAACACACACACATGACACACACAAATGTACACAGACACATTCGTGTGCTCTCATAAGAAGGCTCAGCACACATATTTGCTTACATGTACACATGAAACACACATATAAACACACATTCTCATACACACATATCCACACATGTGCAAACAACACACACGTACATTTACACATGCAAAACAGAAGTCTGTGGTGCACAAGCACACATCACACCCATGTACACACACACATACAAACATCACATACACACAGGCTCATTCTGCTTATTTTCAAATGAGACTTGGCAAAACGTTCCTGTCACAGCATCTCCCAGGGAGTGTCTGGCCTCCTTGGAGTAGATCCCAGTATCACCTCCCAGGAACAGAGAGGGCTTCACCTTTCAGTCGCAGAACACAAGCCACAGGTGCTGTCTCACGGGTGTGCCCCAGAGAGCACCTCCCCCTGTGATGCGAGTGGAGGCCTAAGCAGTCCCCCTGAGCACCCAGCAGTCCAGCAGCACCCATCGGACAGCCTGGGAGCTCTCTGAGGACCCACACCCTGCTGAGCCACTCCGAAGTCTCAGGAGCAGCTGCAGTTGGCAGAGTCCAGGTGTCCCCAGAGGAAGTTGCGAGGCCAGACCCAGCTGGGCTCCCAGGAAGGCTCCTGGAGTCTCTTTATGAAGCGAGGGGTGCTGGGAAAGCTGAAGAGTCACATGCAAATCAGTGAAGCTGGAACACATCCTCACACCATGCAGAAAAATAAACTCAGAATGGCTTAAAGACTTAAATATAAGACAAGACATTGAAAAACGCCTAGCAGAGAACATAGGTAAAACATTCTCTGACATAAATTGTACCGATGTTTTCTTAGGTCGGTTTACCAAGGCAACAGAAACAAAAGCAAAAATAAACAAATGGGACCTAATCAAACTCACAAGCTTTTGCACAGCAAAGGAAGCCATAAACAAAACAAGAGACAAGACTGGGAGAAAATATTTGCAAATGAGTGGACCAATAAGGACTTACTTTCCAAAATATACAAACAACTCATACAACTCAATAACAAAAAGCAAACAGCCCATCAAAAAATGGCAAAACACCTAAACAGAAATTTCTCCAGAGAAGACATACAGATGGCCAATAGGCAGATGAAAAGATGCTCAACATCAAAATTATTATTAGAGAAATGCAAATCAAAACCATAATGAGGTATCACCTAACACCTGTCAGAATGGTCATCATTAAAATGATGTCTAAAAACAATAAATGCTGGAGAGGGTGTGGAGAAAAGGGAACCCTTCTATACACTGTGGAAATGTAAATGTGGGAATGTAAATTGATGCAGCCACTATGGAGAACAGTATGGAGGTTTCTTAAAAAACAAGAAGCAGAATTACCACATGATCCAGTAATCCCACTACTGGGCATATATCCAGAGAAAACTCTAATTCAAAAAAATACATGCACCCTAATGTTCATAGCAGTACTATTCACAATAGCCAAAACTTAAATGTACGTTGACAGATGAATGGATAAAGAAGCCATCATATATATATATGATGGCTTCTTTATCCATATGTGTGTGTGTGTGTGTGTGTGTGTGTGTGTGTGTAATGGAATATTACTCAGCCATAAAAAAGAATGAAATAATGCCACTTGCAGGATCATGGATGGACCTAGAGATGATCATACTAAGTGAAGTAAGTCAGACAGAGAAAGACAATTACCATATGATGTCGCTGATATGTGGAATCTAAAATGTGACACACATGAACTTATCTAAGAAACAGAAATAGATTCACCAACATAGAGAACAGACTTGTGGTTGCCAAGGGGGAAGGCAGGAAGGGGAGAGATGGAGTAGGAGTTTGGGGATTAGTAGATCCAAACTATTATATGTAGGATGGATAAGCAACAAGGTCCTACTGTAGAGCATGGGGAACTATATTCAATATCTTGGGATAAACCATAATGGAAAAGGATATGAAAAAGAAGAAGAAGAAAGAAAGGCCCTCGCTGTAAGAATACTCAGACTAAGCCCCTGTCCCTAGTTGGGCTTAGTTCCCTCCTCTGTAATGAAGGGGGCTCTCAGCACACCTCAGCACATCCCTCATCTGCTGCATCAGGGTCTTGTAGTTCAAGCTGCAGATTTAGCTCCTGACCTTTACAAGCAGGGGGAGAGGAATTTAATTCAGAGGCTAAAGTACATCCACCACTGTCAGTGCCGCTATAAATATACAGGCCACTCACTCACCAGAGCGCCCAGGTGGCTTGGGGGAGAACACACCCCACCATGTGGTACATTTACCCCCTCTGGGCCCCTTCAGGTTAACCACAGCCCCCTGTGGCTTGCCAAAAACATCTGCCCATATGTTTCCTGGATGACAAGGGAGCAGCAAAGGGCCTGGGATGGCAGGGGCCCGCTGGAAGCTGAGGGCCTCCAGGAGGTCTAGAACAGGAAGTGGGTGGCAGACTGGTCTGCAGGTGTGGGACATGGTCTCACAGGCTTCTGAGCACCAAGGCAGGGGGCCTGCTCAGGGTGGGCTAAGATTCCCCTTTGTAGAAAGGTAAATTTCCAAAGAGGATGCCCAGGAGACACTGAATTCAGAGCTTTTGCTTATTTATTTTTTTAATGTATTCATTTTTATTCATTTGGCCGCATCAGGTCTTAGTTGCAGCATGCAAACTCTTAGTTGCAGCATGTGAGATCTAGTTCCCCAACCAGGGATCACACCTGGGGCCCCTGCATTGGAAGCATGGAGTCTTAGCCACCGGAACACCAGAGAAGTCCTAGAATTTTCACTCTTTAGAGAAAGACCTTGCCCATTAGATGGCAAAATGGGTGAGGACAAGAAATTAGCTTGAAAAGACCTGGACTTGGCATCCCTTGGAAAAGGAGATGAGCCCCTTGATGGTCCAAGGAGTAAGCAGAGGGCACACAGGGGCAAGGTAACTCAGGGTGCCCAGAGAGTGCTGCCCTTAACCCTGGTGAGAACCCCCACACTGGTCCTTCTGGGCCGTGTTGGGTAAGGAGTTGGTGAGACCAAGGGGATATGTCCAGCCAGTTGACCCACAAACTGTGTGACCCTCGGCAGGTTACTCAACCTCTCTGATCCTTCATTTCTTCCTCTAAAGTATGATGTTATGTGAAACTTTTACGAGGTTGAATCACAATAAATACTGAGTGAAAACAGCTCTTCTAGGGCACACCTTCTTCTTCGAGGGCAGCATCCCCAGGCCCGAGGGGTGGCCCAGGGCCTCTGTCTGCAAGCTGTTTTCCCGGGCAGCTGCGGTAGCCAGAGTCCCAACAGAAAAGCAAGAGTCCAGGCCAAGTGATTCCACAGGGAATTAATGTAGGAAGGAGCACATGAAAACCTAATAGAAGCGACAAGAAACCGCTGCTTCCCTCAGACTGGAGGGACAGAGGGCAAGATCAGTAGCTAAAACCAAGGAGGAGACACCGTTTGCCCGCGCTACCGAGTTGCAGACACGGTTCAAAGCCGAGAGCCTGGAGGTACCCGGCCGGGTTTCTCTCCTTCCTTGGAGGGGGAGGCGGTGCCTACCTCCCTTCTCCGTTTCCCATTGGCTGAACCTATCGGGGATGCCCGCGTGCAAGGGACCCTGGGAAATGTAGTCCATAGGGTCGGGCCAGGCAGCCCTGCGGAGCAGGGTAGGGGGGGCGGGGGGGTGGACCTGATGGCTGTAGCTGATGCCCAGCTGTACCGTGGGGCGGAGAAGTGCTGCTCTGCCTGCCCGAAGGCAGCGGGTTTGCCTCTGCTGAATCTTCAAAGCTCCTCGATCCACACATCGGTGGAGGGTAAGTCTGGAGAGAGAAGCCGCTGTCACCCCGCACCAACAGGCGGGAGAACGGGAGAATGACCTTGTGGGCACTTCAGGTCACTTGACCCCGGGCCTGGGGAGCTAGTACGCTGGACCCCAACCCTGACCTCCCTGCACGGTGGCTCCTGAGCCGCCCTGCTGGCCACAGCTGGGCATCTAACTCCAGGTTAGCGGAGCACCGCCAACATGGGGGGCGGGGAGGGGGTGGGGGAAAGGTGATGGGGGGTTGGTAATAGCAGTTGCTGCTGGTGAAGCCTTTAGGAGTCTAGGCGCTAAGCTTCATGCTTTAGATGGACAGTTTCATCTATTCTAACAACCCGTAATAAGCACCAAGTATATCCCTGTAAAACCCAGGGGGAAAATTTTTTTTATCGTCAAAAAATTTTAAAAGTATGTCCCAGGTGTCCACAAATAACTGAGCAAAGTCAAAATCCTGAAACTGAAAAATAGGAACCTCCCAGAAGGTCTGAGCAGGTGTGGTGTGACTGTTTGAGGCCAAACAAGACCTTGGGGTCAACATAATTTTCTATTAGGTAGATAGAGAACCATTCACTTTGGCATGTGTTCTATGTAATAAAGTGGGCATCAGCAATCCCTCTGTTTTCCTTCAGTATTTATCATGATGCAACGTTGTAAAAGTTTCACATGACATTATACTTTAGAGGAAGAAATGAAGGACCAGAGAGGTTGAGTAACCTGCCTAGGGTCACACAGTTTCCCCATGAAAGACAGTATGTTACTCTGTGATGGAGTGGCTGCTAATCGACCCCTCCTCCACTACTATTTCCCCACCTATCCAATCAGGTCCAGGGTGCCTGGCACTGAGCTGAGGTAGCAGGCAAGGTGGTGATGTTGGATGTTTATATTCTGACAGCATCCCAAGGCCAAATATAAACTGGGTGATGCCCCAGAGTGTGATGTTACACTGCCTTCAGGTCATGATGGTGAGCACACTGTGCGTAGACCTAGCAGGGTCAGTGCGAACCCCAGTGGTCAGCTCTCAGAAGCCTCTCTGGCTCTCCCTGACTTTTCCCTTTAAGCCAGTAAGAAGATGACAGCAGGAAGAGGCTATGGGGCTCTCCAGTCTCCCTTGCCCTGCAGGCCCCAGAGGAGTTGGGTGACTTGTCCAAGGTCACACAGCTGGTGGAGGATAACCCCATACAACACGTGCAGCTGCAAAGCCATTTCATGCCTGCTTCCTCTCTCCGTCTCTGAAATGATGCCCCTTCACTGCTCGAGTTTCGGTGGTTCAAACCTAGAGGGAAGAATGGGTGGGGTTGCATTTTTCACAAAGGCCTTCACAGGTCACAGGCAAGATTTTGCTTGTGAACTGAAAGTAGGAATTTATTAAGTATGGTTTAGGCACTGCTCTCTCCCTCCTCCCCAGCCCAAATACATCAGGATCTTTTCTCCTACCCCCAAAATTATACAACAGGGTGGAAAAGAGGAATCTGTTTCGTTTTCCCACTCCTGGTGGGACATTTCCCCAAAAAGGCAAATCAATCATCAGACGATTAGGAAGAGGGCAGCTCCCAGTCTCATGGCTGCATGAGACACAGGTGGACGAGACGAGAGCTCAGCTTGAGTCCAAGGCCTTGGGCTCCAGGCCTTTTGTCCACCAGGCCTCTCATCCAGGCCTCAGCCGTTTCATCAGGGGGCCGGGGGTCGGGGGGGCCACATCTTTCAGGTCCTTCTAGGAGGATTAACATTCTGCTAGGAGTCATGTACTGAGAGGTGCAGCAGTGCTAATACCTGAGTTCACAGTTAATGAGCTGCAGGGAGCAGGAGGCTATTTCAACGCACTCAGAGATGGGCAATCTACTTGAAAATGAGGCTATTTCTGAATGCAAGGATGATATTACATCAGAGTGCTTTGGCTGCTTAAAAAGCACCCCCAAACTCAGTGGTTTAAAACAACAGCCATTTACTTAGCTCATGATTCTGCAAGTTAGCAGTTTGGGCTGGGCTCACTCCTATGGCCTGTGGCAGGGTTTGCCTGGCCTGGCTGACGTCAATGGCTCGGCCAAAGTGTATGGCTTCATCCTCACAGGGAAGCCTGGGCTTTATATCTTTTAGCTGGCAGGATCCCAAAACAAGAACCAGGGGTTTCCCTGGGGGCTCAGTGGTAAAGAATCTGCCCACCAATGCAGGAGACACGGGTTCGATCCCTGATCTGGGAAGCTCCCACAAAGCCTATGCTCCACAACTGTTGAGCCTGTGCTCCAGAGCCCGGGAGCTGCAACTACTGAAGTTTGTGCATCCAGAGCCTGTGCTTCATAACAAGAGAAGACACCACAGTGAGAAGCCCATGCACCACAACTAGAGAGTAGACCCTGCTCACTGCAACTAGAGAAAAGCCTTCAGAGCAACAAAGACCCAGCACAGCCAAAAGTAAATAAATAAAAATAAAAAAAGACCAGAGCGGAAGAACTCAAGGTCATAGTCACTGTGACTGTATTCCACTGCCAAGGTCAAGTGACAAGGCCAAGCCTGATTTGAGGACTGAGAAACTGGCTCCAGCTCTTCATGGGGGAAGCTGAAAAGTCACATCCCAAAGGGGCATGAACACAGGGAGGAAACAAGGACTGTTACCATGTCCCCAGATGTCCTTTCTAAAGTCTTCTAGGAACAAAGTAGAGACTCCTGGCAAAAATAAAAATGTTGTAGAATAGTCCACCCAAGCAAAGATTCTGCGGCATCAGCCCAGTGTGCATCTACTAAGTGCAAACTGTAAGTCTTAGCAGTGTTGAGCTGGAGCCCCTGAGTCCTGGTGCACAACAGCAACTGTTAAATCCTCTGGAATTTTGTGAGCCCAGTGTTGAACCATCACAGCTCAAAACTGCCCATGGCGGGAGTATTTACACCCTGGGAATCAGCAAGCACCACAAATCAGGGAACTGAGTTAGCAGGACACCGCTTGTTCAGTCACTCAGTCGTATCTGACCCTTTGCAACCCCATGGACTGCAGCACGCCAGGCTTCACTGTCCTTCACTATCTCCCAGAGTTTGCTCAAACTTATGTCCATTGAGTCAGTGATGCCATCCAACCGTCTCATCCTCTGTCATCCCCTTCTCCTGCCTTCAATCTTTCCCAGCATCAGGGTCTTTCCCAGCATCAGGGTCTTTCCCAATGAGTCTGCTCTTCATATCAGGTGACCAAACAAACACTCCCATAACAAACACTTTCTCTCCCAACCTAATGAGTAAGATGGACAGATGCGCAGCGAAAGATTATAAGACTCTAATTAGAACAGGCTGAGTGCAGTGCAAGACAGAAGTCAAGAGACCAGAGACGCAAAGGGGAAGGAAGTCGTGGCTCCCGGAGGTAGACTTGGGGTAAGGAAGCCATTCTGGGGGAGCTGGCCTTTTCTCTGGGCCTTGAAGGGTGAATAATGGGAGGCAAGGCTGCAACAGGAGTGAGGGGTGCAGGCAAAAGCAGAGAGCGGGGCTGAGATCACGGAGCATCGTTTAGTCTGAACTTGGCTTCCGGTGATGGTCAGAAGTTTACTGATCCCATCTCAATCTTGGGAAGTAAGTGGTCCAGGCAGGCACGTGGCCCTGCCCCCCACTAGCCCTTCCCCCGCCCTGTTCTAGAATCTCAGCAAACAAGTGCACAACCTTTTCTCTCCTCCTCCTCTAATCAGCTGCAGTAGGCGGTCCGTACACCCACCTGGATTTGACACCTGGCTGTGTGCGCTTGGACAGGTTGCTTAACCTCTCTGAATCTTTGTTTCCACATCAGCAAAATGGAGCAAAAGTAACTGCAGGGTCCCTGGGATTCAGGGGCTGATGACGGTGCAGAACTTAGCATGGTGGCTACCCATAGAGTGGACACTCAGGGGGGAGTGTGTGTGAGAGAGAGACAGACAGGCAGACAGACAGGCAGGCAGGCAGACAGGAAGATTGGTTCTTCCCTCCTTTCTAGGCCCTGACCAAGCCCATCTCAGCCTCCCTCCACCCACTCTGGGAGGGTTGGGAGGCAAGGCCACTCTCCTTCCCAGGCTTGCAGGGTTGGGGGAAGAAGGCCCCGGGAGACCTGGCCTTGTGTTGGTTGATTCTGCGTGGGCAGCCACGCTGAACCTTGGCCACTTCAGTCCAGTTCACTGAAGTCGCTGCTTCTCAAAGCGTCCAGGGGGACTCCTGATTGCAACCCCCCAGCTTGTCCACCTTGGTCCGCAGTTCAGGAACCCCATAGGGGATATGGCTGCCACATTTGCCTGGAAAGGCCTCTTTAGGAAACAGCACCCACCCCTCCAGGAACAAGGGGTGGGGTGTCTGGTTGGGGCAGGACCTGGATACAAGCCCAGGGGGTGTGAGGGCTGGAAGTCGGCTGGGTCAGTGATCCAAGAAAATATTTGGCTCAAGGCTGACCTTGAAACTCCATCACTGGGTCCTCGGAATATGGGTCCTCGGAATGTGGGGTCAGGCTGCTCTCCCCCGCCTCCCCCTCACTGCAGGGACAGGTGTTTCTAGCCCGGAGCAGCCCCCACCTAGAGTTCCTGCCTTGCACACTCACCCCAGTGGCTTCCCTACTGGGGTGTCTCCCCCAGAGTGAGGCGTGGGGGCTGCCAAGCATCTGACACTGTGTATTCATTGGAAGGACTGATGGTGAAGCTGAAGCTCCAATACGTTGGCCACCTGATGCAAAGAACTGACTCATTTGAAAAAGACCCTAGTGCTGGGAAAGATTGAAGTCAGGAGGAGAAGGGGACAACAGAGGATGAGATGGTTGGATGGCATCCCCAACTCAATGGACATGAGTTTGAGTAAACTCCAGGAGTTGGTGATGGACAGGGAGGCCTGGCATGCTGCAGTCAATGGGATTGCAAAGAGTTGGACATGACTGAGCAGCTGAATTGACTGATTGATCCCTCCTGGAAAGAGGCCCGCTTACTTGCCCCCACCCCTAACATCCCAGCCCGGCTCTCAGTCCTCCAAGCTGGCGAGGATGTCCCCCTCCAAGCCTCTGAGGGAGAC